TATTGTTAGTATAAACAGTATAGGTGTAATATCATATAATATAAATGCTGAATATGCAACAGTTCTGAAGCTTCCTTATATATTTTATTAAAATACTGATCACAATTTGTACGTTTATTGGATAAGTTATCTAAAACCAACTGAATAATATTTGTTGCACTAATATAATCCCTTTCTTTTCCTTGAAGACATTTGCTAATAGGTAATGTAATACTCAGAATATTTACCAGAGTAAACATAGTTAAAATAAATTCACAATTCTCTAAAGCACTTATCAACATTTTGGCTTTGGTTGCAGATTCAGATTCTGACCATTCAGATATTTTATTTAATGCAATAAGTATGTCTGTAAATGAGATAGAAAACAATAAAATGCTGTCATGTCTATCAATCCAGCGCGTTTCACATACATTTTTTAAAGAATGATTTTTCAGAGTACTTTTTAGAACAAAATTCCTTTTTGAAGAAGAATTAAAAAAAGCCACTACTTCTTTGATAACACCAACAGAATTTCTTACAAATTGTACTGTTGACGATTTAGATATACATAAATTTAAAGAATGATTTGCACATGGGCTATAGATTGCATTTTTTGCAAACTTTTGAATGTGCTGGACAGCACCACGAGCTTTCGATATCATAACAGAACATCCGTCTGTTGTGATTCCAATACAATCATGTAGATTTAATGAAAATTTGTTTAACAAATCTATTACAATTTGGCCTAAATGTTCACCAGATAATTTTGGTTCAACATCTTCACTATCATCTATTTTGCCATACGCTTCACGATGACAGTCAATAAACTCAATAAAATTTTCTTTGATTTTATCATTAAAAACATAACGAAAAACCAAACTCATTTGTGATACATGTGACAAATCTGTAGTTTCATCAAACATTATGCTGTAGAATCTACTTTGTTTTATTTCTTTGATAATTTATGATTGTATTTCTTCCTTGAAACAATCAATTAATTGATTTTGAACATTTGAACTAATATAAGTTGCTTTTGAGTGTGTTGTGAGTAAGTGCTGCTCTAATATTTTGTCATCTGATTTAACCCTGAACCTTAAAAGCTCTCTAAAGTTCCCTTCATTATTCATTTTATGATGATTGTTATTTGCTAATAGAGCTCCATCATCTCTATGGCCACGCAATGGAATATTTTGTTTCCTCAAAAATATCATAGATTGAATTATAGGTTTCAAGCGATCTCAATTTTCAGTAATTTTTTTCAAACGATCAGCATTTACCAAGTTTAAAATATTTTTCTCGGGATTAAGAATGGTAGATTTAAATTGATCAGCTCTTTGAAGTGCATATTTGTGATACAAATTATTTTGATGTACTTCAAGAAAACCATCTTTACCCAATAATTTTGAAAACTTTTTTAAGGGAGTAGTTACGAGTGTTTTTAAATTTTCTGTTTAGTGTTTTCCTCCTTGATTACTTTCTTTAAATAATACACAAATTTAACAAAAAAGTCCTTCTTTTGAAGTGGAATATGCTAACCAGGGGTAACTTTTAAAATGATTTTCCCTGAGAAAACGCTTGCCTTCTTTGCCTTTGTAACAATTCGCACGAGGCCATACCCAGATTCGGCGTGGAGTGTACATGGACGAGGCTGGTAAAGGTCGCCAACCCACAGCCGAGATTCGAAAATCGGGCATGCGGGATTTTCTTTATATAAATAAATAAACAAATTGGAAAAGGGAAAAAAAATTAAAACATCGTTATGGGGGTTGGTTTTTTAATGTATACCAGAAAATAAAAATTTAATTTATGACCAAGAAAAGCCATACGGCATAAAAACTTGGCCGCAATTGAAAG